GAGATACCCAACGTCATGAACCATCCCCACCTCAGTAGAATGCATGACTTCCACGGGTGGCATGCTTGCTCTTCGTCGAGAGGGTTAGGGTTAGAATCCTATCTGGTTGTCTTTTTTTAAAGTTTACTTATTTGTTTGTTTGTTTTTACTTTTTTTACATTTATTTATTTATTTATAATTATTTTTAATGTTTTATTTCTTTCTGAAAGAGAGAGAGACAGCGTGATTAGGGGAGGGTGATACAGAATCCGAAGCAGGCTCCAGGCTCCGAGCTGTCAGCACACAGCCCGGCGCGGGGCTCGAACCCACGAACCGCGAGATCATGACCTGAGCCAAAGTCAGACGCTCAACCGACTGAGCCACCCAGGCGCCCCACATTTATTTATTTTTGAGAGACAGAGTATGAGTGGAGGAGAGGCAGAGAAGGAGACACAGAATCTGAAGCAGGCTCCAGGCCCTGAGCAAACTTTCAGCACGGACCCCGTGCAGGGAGGGCTCAAACTCACTAACTGAGATCATGACCTGAGCCGAAGTTGGAGGCTTAACTGACTGAGCCACCCAGGCACCCCTGTTTGTTTATTTTTAAGTAATCTCTACCCTCAACATAGGGCTTGAACTCATGATCCGAGATCAAGAGTCACATGCTCTTCCGACTGCATTTTCTTTTTGTGATTGCAACAGTTGCTGACGCCCAATGCCTCACGTGAGGACTTCACTGAAGACTATAAAGGCTGATACGTTTTGTATTTTTCTTTCCCTCTGTTTTTGGAGACTCCGTGAGTGGTCAGTACATGTTAGAAATGACTGTTTTGCCCTGTGGCTTCTGCTTCTGACAGCCGTCATCTGCAGGTCCTATATAGGGGACTGCCCTGGCCGTAAGGGAGAACTCTCAGCCTGTGTTTTCTTTCTTTTTTTTTTTTTAATTTTTAAATGTTTATTTATTTTTGAGAGAGAGAGAGACAGCGTGAGCAGGGGAGGGTCAGAGAGAGAGGGAGACACAGAATCCGAAGCAGGCTCCAGGCTCTAAGCTGTCAGAACAGAGCCCTACGCGGGGCTCAAACCCACGAACCGTGAGATCATGACCTGAGCCGAAGTCGGACGCTTAACTGACTTGAGCCCTCCGGGCGCCCCCCAGCCTGTGTTTTCGAGAGCTCAGAGTGTCCGGGAGTTAGCAGAGCGCACTTTTCTACCAGAGTCAGGGAGCTTGGCTGGAGGCCGGGCAGTGAAGACAGAGTAGATGAGATCAGACGGCTGATGGGACGGGTGGGGTCCCCGAGTGCAGGAGGAAGACATTGGAGGACTGTGAGCATGGAAGTGGCACGGTTTCGCACCGTTGTGATGGCATCGCCCTGGCGGCTACGTGGAGGACGGACTGTAGGGACAAGGGCCAGGGAGGGGCTCTGCCAGGGGACACCTGTCGAAGGTAGAGCCTGTGGCACTTTCTGATACATTGGGCCTGAGATTTGGAAGCCGATGGAAGAAGCAGGTCCGGGTGATGTTGCCTTGGTTTCCATGGGGAGAAATGCCTGGAGGCAGTGGCGACACGACGTCTAGGTCCCCTGACGGGCTGTTGTATCGCCCCCTCCCAGGCCTCCTTTTTGGTAGCTGTTTCGGTTCATCACTGCCAGTTCCCATTTCACAAGAAGCAAGGGTGTTAACGCTGCGGTCCTCAGTGCTCACAAGAAATCCGTGGTTTGGGGTCTTTGGCCATGAGAACCGTGTAATTAGAAATTAAAACTGAAGCTTGAGTGGTCATTTAACCTCACCCGAATTTTCACCCCAGATGAGAATTCTAACATTGCCTCGCAAAAGTCTTAGACCCTAAAATGTTACCCTGGTCAGATAATTACCTCTAAGACAGAAGTAACGAACCTAGTTAGGTAAGGAGATTGTAGTACGAAGAAAGAAAACTATAGGTCCGTCCCACTTGCTATAGGTAGACAAAACTAATTCCAGCTGCGTTGTATTTAAATGGAAGAAAATGGCATAATTTCCGGAAGAGAATAAACTTCCATTTGTTCTGTTTATTCATTTATTCATTCGGTCCTTCAACAAATGTGCAGTGAGCATTCCCTAAATGTTGCCAAGGACTATTTTACGCAGTAGGTACTTCAAAAACAACATAAACTGGGGTGTCTGGATGGCTCAGTAGGTGAAGCGTCTGACTTTGGCTCAGGTCATGATTTTGCTATTCGTGAGTTCGAGCCCCACGTCGGGCTCTGTGCTGACAGCTCAGAGCCTGGAGCTGCTTCAGATTCTGTGTCTCCCTCCCTGTCAGTCCCTTCCGCGCTCACACTCTGTGTCTCTCACAAAAGAGCAAATAAACGTTAAAAATTTTTTAAGAAGAAAAATGGGCAAAGTATATGAAGAGCTGCTCACACAAGGAGGTCTACAAATGGACGTGACAGATGAGAAATACCATCCAACGTCGTTAGACAAATTTCGACAACCAGATATGCTTGGGCTTTGGTCCGTGCAACTGCCAGAGCTTTAGAAGAGGTTTCCGAGAAAACTGGCAGAACGAAGTAACATAGTTCTGAGTACTTGTTCGCGTAATTCCGTGCTGTGAAAGTCCTCAAAACAAATGCAAAGAACCCAAACTGGAAAAGGAAACTCCAACCACCTCCTCCTGGAGGGACCCGAGGTCGGTGACACGTCTCCCTACCCCCTCGGGAGGGCACAGTTTTCACAAAATAGGAAAACGATTTCTGAAGGATTCCAGTGAAATCCTTAACTTGGTCCATTCTGGACTCTTGAAAGTCACAAGTGCAGTGGGACCGTGACGTGCAAGGAGACGGAAACGTCACGGGGGCCCGCTCGCATCGAGGGCCACCTGAGCTCAGTGCACTCTACGTGGAATTGCAGGTGAGACCGGTTGGTGCCGTGTCCACACCGGTCCCCGTTATTCACTCCGCACAGGTGTCTGAACTCTGACCTGCAGGGGCGCCTGGGTGTTTCAGTCGGTTAAGCGTCACGATCTCACGGTTTGTGGGTTCGAGCCCCGCGTCGGGCTCTGTGCTGACAGCCAGCTCAGAGCCTGGAGCCTGTTTCGGATTCTGTGTCTCCCTCTCTCTCTGACCCTCCCCTGCTCATGCTCGCTCTCTTCTCTCGGAAAAACAGCAACAACAACAACAACATTGAACCCTGACCTGCACATGTGATCCTGGGGAAAAGGAAAGGCGTCCGGATCAGCAGCGGGGAGGCCAAGGGGGCCGCCATAACTGTTAACATTAAAGGTCCTTCCACGTAGCAGGTGTATGTGCCTTGAGCCGCACGAGTAATGAAACCGAGTTGGCACTGAGGTTCTTTTCCTCTGCAGGCACTTGGGGCTGGCGCCCTCTGGGATCTCGGCTGGTCCCAGGCTGAGACAGGAGCTTCGATAAACACTGGTGGCCTGTGGTCTCCTGGGTGGAGTCGCTTCTACCGACTCACAGTTCACAGTCGGTGGTGGCCAGAGCCTGGGGGGTGGTTTTGGTGACTTCCTCTAGCCGGCAGAGTGCTCAGAGCCGAGGAGCCAGCCTGCAGCATCCGCGTGGGGCTCCTGGGCCCCATGGAGATGGCCCCCCCCCCCTCCCCCCGCCCCTCCCTTTCCTCTGCCCTTTTCACCCACCCCCCCCCCCCCCCGACCCGGGTGCTGCGGCACAGATGTCCACCTCTGTGTTTTCCACACTGGTATAGTTTCCTTTTCAAATGTGAATCTTTAATCCAGGCAGAATTGTTTTTCACTATATGTGCAATGAAACACGGATTCATAGATTTACTGAGCTCCCTCTAGGCTGCAGGCACCGTTGGGGCGTTTTAAAAAGATTTTTCTCTGCAATGAACCTCAGATATCTTATATCTAATAACACAAGACACCAGGTTTCCCAAATTCCTCTGTTTTGGGAAAGTGGAAGGATCTCTTGCTAGACTGAGCTCATTTTAAAAAAAGTTTTTTTTAACTTCTTTATTCATTTTTTGAGAGACGGGGGCGGGGGAGAGAGAGAGAGAGGGAGACACAGGATCTGAAGCAGGCTCCAGGCTCTGAGCTGTCAGCAGAGAGCCCTACATGGGGCTCAAACCCCACTGACTGCGAGATCATGACCTGAGCTGAAGTTGGATGCTCAACCGACTGGGCCACCCAGGTGCCCCTAGACTGAACTCATTTTTATAAAATGGTGCTGAGTCTTCTCTTCTCCTACACTTTGTATCCGAACACACACGCTCCCACAATCCCAACCCCAATTCTCCCCATTCCTTTCATTTTTGTGGAGCACGTCAGAGCCCGTGGGCCATCCTTACGCATCCTTACATGTGTTAATGTGTTCTGCACAGCTCCCTACTGGGGCTTCTAAGCTCTGTGAGCTACGTGTGATCTGCATAGCTGTGGTCAGTGCGCAACAGCCTCTGATGTCACGGCAGCACACGGTTAAGACCCAGGCTCCCAAGATAGGTGATCTGAGCAGCTCACGCTCCTCAGCGTCCCCATAGGGATGAAGACTGTGTACTCCACAGGGTTCATGTGGACCTTAAGTGGTTCAAATCAATCCATGCAAAGCACTAAGACATCTGTGTGAACTATTTTTACTATGTCAAGAAATCTGCCTTACTTGAGATGTTTCTGTTGCTCTGTTAGCAGTATCATCTCATCGTTAGCGAGCTCCTTGTGCCTCGGCACTCAGCGTGAGCACCGCGGAACCTCCCTCGGGGAAGGACGCCCAGGACTGGGAGAGTAATATTTTGCCATTTTTTTTTATTGTAGTAAAACATACATATAAATAATACGGGTTATTTTAACCATGTGTAAGTGTAAAGTTCAGTGGCATTAAACACATTCATGATGGTGAGTAACCATCAGCATTATCTGTACCCAACACTTGGGAATGATGGTGACTTTTTAAAAGCTTATTCTCCAGGCACCTTGTGGCTCAGTCAGTTGACTGTCTGACTCTTGGTTTCGGCTCAGGTCAGGATCCCTGGGCCGTGGGATCAAGCCCCGCTTTGGGCTCCGTGCTGAGCACCCTGCCAGATTGGAATTCTGTCTCTCTGTCTCCCTCTGCCGCTCACGTCTGCTCATGCATGTACATGTTCTCTCTCTCGCTCTCTCTAAAAAAAATTAATAAAGTAAAATAAAGGAAAATGAAATCTTATCCTCAGGTGTTCATGCTGTTGCAGGTTAGTTGTGAAGCTGTCACTTCTTATTATCCCAAACCTTCCTTCAGACTTGATTGCCTCCTTTGTGCTCCCACAGACTTGACTCTGTCACAGAACTTACTGGAGTTTCAAACAGCTGTTTCTTCCTGAGTTGGTTTTTGCCCATTGTTCCAAGCCATTGTGTTGATCTGGAGCCTGATACCTTGTGTGTTGGCGACCCTCCCGGGCTCACAGCACCTGCAAATGTGATTAGCTGGTCTTCATGGCCTCGGAATCTGCAACATAAGAAAGAATGAGAAAGTAGCCAGGACACTCAGCGGCACTTAGGTTGACAATTCATGAGGAAGGTCAAGTGCACGTCGTGTAGCATGGCACACTTATCTCTGCCCAACATCCCTCCTCAGGGTTCCTCCTTCCGAGGCCCGTCGCGCCACAGAGACACAGGACTTCTCTGTGTCTGTTGACAACCATGGAAGCTGACCCTGTGGGCCAGGCCGTCTCCAGGACAATGACAGGAAGTTATTCCATGCCTGGGACAAGTCCTAGCTGAATCTGGCAGCGAACACAAGGTCACAGGCCATCAGGCTGAAGGGTCACCAGCACCTCCAGGGCTGCTGGCACTGCGCCAGGACCAGGAGGAGCAGTGGAACGTGCTTCTGGAAATTCCTGACCCGCTGCCCTTGGGTCCCAGGGCTTTTTTGGAAAGGAAGTTGAAGGTGGAGAGAAAGAACATCATGCAGAATTCTGTTTCTTTGATGGTTTTCACCTTTTGCAACCCATAAACACTCCCCAAACTTGCCGAGCGTTTTTGTGGTGAAGCCACTGGGAGGAGAATGGGGGTCCGGGTCGTTACCAACTGCTCCCCTGCACCTCATGTTGTCGGACGACATCCAGGATCCCTCGGGGCCACACAGACGGTGGCCGCGATGGCCTCATTAGCTTTTCTGAACGCGAGCGGACGCGCACAGAGGCCCACGTCCGCGGCAACGAGAGAAAGCCAGCGGGGGGCCTGTCCGTGCAGCAACAGCGATGAGGAAGGGTGTGAGAGGAAATGGGAAGTCCGTGCACCAGCCGAGGGCCAGTCCTATTTCTCTTTTCTGTGTTGTCCTCCTGTCTTCTGGACTCTAGAGAAGAATGCGTGTAACGGGACAGAAATATTCCACTTTGGAAGACAGAGCGAAACCAGAGGAAATGCTGCTGACAGTTGCATGGGCTAAAACGGTCTTCGCTGAACGGGCTCGGACACGTGACCTGGAGGGCGCTGCCGTGTCACCGCGTTTCCCTCCAGGTGCCTCCCCCCGGGAGCTGCAGGAGCGGCAAGAGCAGCTCACCAGATCCCCAAGCAACCCCCACTGTCTGTCTGAGCTCTTCTTGAATTTCAACTAATTTTTGTTTAACTTAAGTTACAGAGTGTTCTTTATTTTTTAAAAAACTTTTTTAATGTTTTATTTATTTATTTCATTTTCTAAAAATGTTTTTTATTTATTTGTAGGAGAGAGAGAGAGAGAGACAGCGTGAGCAGGGGAGGGTCAGACAGAGAGGGAGTCACAGACTCTGAAACAGGCTCCAGGCTCTGAGCTGGCAGTCAGCACAGAGCCCGACGCGGGGATCGAACCCACGAACGGCGAGATCATGACCTGAGCGAAAGTCGGACACTTAACCGACTAAGCCACCCAGGCGCCCTATGTTTTATTTATTTCTGAGGGAGAGAGGTAGAGAGACAGATACAGCGTTCAGGGAAGGGGCAGAGAGAGAGGGAGACACAGAATATGAAGCAGGCTCCAGGCTCTGAGCTGTCAGCACAGAGCCCGACGCAGGGCTCGAACCCACGAACTGTGAGATCGTGACCTGAACCAAAGTTGGACGCCTAACCAACTGAGCCACCTAGGCGCCCCCAGAGTGTTCTTTAAAACATTTTTTAATGTTTATTTATTTTTGAGAGACAGAGAAAGAGAGACACAGTACAAGCAGGGGAGGGGCAGAGAGAGAGAGGGAGACACAGACCCCAGAGCAGGCTCCAGGCTCTGAGCTGTCAGCACAGAGCCCGACACAGGGCTTGAGCTCACCAACTGTGAGATTGTGACCTGAGTCGAAGTCGGGGGCTTCACCGCCTGAGCTTCCCAGCGCCCCAAGTTACAGAGTGTTCTGGAACAGTGAAAGGGGAGTCATGAAACTTGCATTAATGAACAAGACACTTCATGCCTCTGAGGGCCGGCTTCCTGTTCTGGAAAATTAGCTGCACTGAGCGCTTCCCACAATTATGGAATACAAGTTGATAACATTTGTAAGAGAGTGGAGTGCCAGGCAGAGTGCGCTGAGTCGTTCTACCGCGTCGCACAGTGACAGTGGCTGCCCGCTTGTAAGCCGGAGCCTGCCATTCGGCGTAGAGCCCTGCATGTCCGTCGGGGCCACGTGCTGTTGGTGGGCCAGGACTAGCAATGTCGCGTCTTCCGGCGGCTGCTGCCTCTGCTCTGGCCTCCCCCTCCATCACTCCGACCCTCCTGGCGGTTTCGAGTCTGTCCACGTGGCACATCCCGTTGACACACTAGGCCCCACAACACAAGGGCATGCGTCGTGGCTCTCTCTGTCCCCGGCATGCTCGCCATTCGGTGAATGTAAGTGTCAACACACGTGGAGTGAAGGTAAGCGACCCTCTGGACCTTGTGCGTGCCACCTCTGCCAGCTCTCTGTTGCCCTGACTTTTGTAAACTTAGAATCGTCATCAGATCCCCGGGAGCCTGGTGGCCTTCTTCCGCCCCCCTAGTGTCATTATCTTGCACAACTAGCAAAGGACATTGGGAGCATCCGAGAGCCGCTGCGGGCTTCCCCTGTTTGCACACACACGCACCTCTGTCACCTGTAGCTTCGCGTGACCGCTGCCGCTGACCAGGGCCCTTCCCGCTCACCCTCCGCGGCCACGGCATCAGTCCGCCCACCGCGCCCCAAGCCCGCACCAGGAACGCACTGCCGCTGCTTCAGGGACCAGCAATACCGGAGGATCCAAACCCAGCTCCCAGTGCAGCCACATGATGTCCGCTTCCTCCAGCCTCACTTGGGAAGCCCGGCTGTGAAGGCACGTTGCCGACCCATCCTGTGCGTATGTGGAGGAAATGATTTCATAGCTTTGGGATTTCACCGCTGCAGAGGGGGCAGGGGGCCAATTCCGCCGAAACAAAGGGACAGTAATCGCTCTGGCCAGAAAAGCAGTTTAAACCAGAGGTGTCTCTTTACAGCCTCTGAGACTTTCAGGATGTTTCTCAGTTCATTTCGGTGTCTTTCGACAATGGACACGATCCAGACGCGCCACTTCAATTTTATCGGAGTGAATTCTGGAGCCCAAGAAGTGGAACTGCTGTAATCTGGCCAGGTTTATCTCACTGTGCAAGTAAACTTGAGTGCACAAATCAAATGCCCAGACTTCTTTTTTTTTTTATGTTTTATTTATTTCTAGGAGAGAGACAGCATGAGTAGGGGAGGGTCAGAGAGAGAGGGAGTCACAGACTCTGAAACAGGCTCCAGGCTCCGAGCCGGCAGTCAGCACAGAGCCCGACGCGGGGCTCGAACCCACGAACCGCGAGATCATGACCTAAGCGAAAGTCGGACGCTTAACCGACTAAGCCACCCAGGCGCCCCAGATGCCCAGACTTCTGAGCTGTATCCTTTATAAACTTTAGCCTTATAATTTGTCTTAGTAGCTGATGAAAGCTCACATTAGGTTTGCTTAACTGATCACCCTCACACCCCAACTTAATCCCAGACCGCATGCTACAGTGTCTGGATAGAGCATTTACTACTGTGTTGGATTTAAAAGCGTGGTACCACGCTGTCTGGGGTCCAGCTTAGAGATGGCGTCTGCCTGGTTCACTGTCACATCTGCACCTCTTGCCACCGAAATGTGTCATGAGGAAATCCTGGTGATTAGCTTTGTTATGAACCCACAAAACTAGTCATGTTTTTCCTCAAGAGTACTATTTTTTTTTTCTCAAATAGTTTAAGGAGTAATATTTTTTAAGTCGATTTATTTATTTTGAGAGAGAACAAGCAAGTGGGGGAGGGTCAGAGAGAGAAGGAGACACAGAATCTGAAACAGGCTCCAGGCTCCGAGCCATCAGCACAGAGCCTGACGCGGGGCTCGAACCCACGGACCACGAGATCATGACCTGAGCCAAGTACATGCTCAACCGACTGAGCCCCGCAGGTGCCCCCATAACAACTGTTTCAGAGTCTTGTGTGCGAACTCTGTCACCTCTGTCATGTGTGCTCGCTTGTGTTTCTCCTCATCATGAGCCACATTTTCCTGCCCCTTTGCATCTGTAGTAATTGGGGAGGGAAGTATTTCCGTTGTAAATATAATATTGTTGAGTGCCTGGGTTTTGTCGTCTTCCTTAAGTGTTGAACTTTGTTTTGGCGACAGTTCAGTGACTGGAAGATCAGCTTGATGATTCGAAGGCTCCACTCTGGGGCTGGCTTGGCCTTTCCAGCTCTAAGCGGGGGCCTTTCCAGAGTCTCTCACTGGTCAGAACTCAGACATGTCCCAGCCCTGGGTGAGCTCCGGTAACGATTCGGTTTGTGGGTGCCCAGTTGTTTTTGGATTTGTTTCTCGATTCACCTCCACATGCCCTTGTTAGTACGGTTTCCTCTGGGGGGTTCTGGAACGCTTCCCTTACCTAGCTCCCGGCTCTCTGGTACTGTTCCCTGCAAACATTAGCCATCCACGATTCGCATCTCCATTTTCCCAGCTGTGGAAGACCGCTGTGCTCTGTTTAAGACCCCTCCCTGCACTGCCCTCTTGAAATGTGCCTGGAGGCCAAAAGCTGGAAAAGCCCTCAGAACCATTGGTGCACAGGGTGGGGGGGGATGCACTCCTCAGGGGTGCTCTGGTGACACACAGCCCCGTCATCATTTGTTTTTTTTTTTTTTTTTTTTTTTTAATTTTAAGATTTATTTGTGAGAGAGAGAGAGACAGCACAAGGAGGGGAGGGTCAGAGAGAGAGGGAGGCACAAAACCCGAAACAGGCTCCAGCCTCTGAGCTGGCTGTCAGCACAGAGCCCGACGCGGGGCTCGAACCCACGAACCGTGAGATCATGACCTGAGCCGAAGTCGGACGCTTAACCGACTGAGCAACCCAGGCACCCCAACCCCGTCGTTATTTGATAAGTTACTTTCAAATTGGTAATGTTTCTCTGTTCATTTGTCATGGCTTTACCACAGGCCAGGGCATACAGGCTCCGTTTACACATGTCGAGGTGTGCAGTCAGGTTAACTGCTCGAGGTCGCCCAGAAAGACAGAAGCAGAAGCAGAATTCAAATACGGGTCCTGACTTGCATTGTAGCCTCCCTCTTTTTCGTACTCCATTTCTCTGAGCCATAGTTGTAGCTAATTGTGTGCATAGTGATTTTGCTTTCTAGGTTTATTGACGCAGGACATGCTCGTCTTCACAATCTGTCCTGAAGTGTTTGCCTCGCCCCTTTCCACTTTGGCTTTCCGAGCCGCTTCCGAGAGCCGCACAGCAGAGGGGGTCCGAGGGGGCTACATGGCTTCAGGGCAGGGGCTCCTGCACTCGTATGTAAAGTGGGAAGTGACAGCAGCCCTCAGGTCGTCATGTGGTCTGTGAGGTCACCCATCCCCCAGCACCCTTCTACCTTTCACGCACAGTGTCTGGCATGCAGTAGGTGCTTAATAACTGTTTATTGAGTGGGGGCACCGGGGGGAGCTGGTTAGGCATGTGACTTTTGGTTTCGACTCAGGTCGTGATCTCGCAGTTCTGGAGTCCTAGCCCCACGTCGGGCTGTGTGCCGACAGCGCAGTACCTGGTTGGGATTGTGTGTCCTCTCTGTCCGCCCTGCCCCATGTGTGCTCTTTCTCGGTCTCTCAAAATAAACATTTGAAAAAAATAGCTGTTTATTGAATGAATCCATGAATATGCCCTCTCCAGAGGAATTAGTTTAAAATCCTTTTTATCATGGAAGAAAGCACAGAGCTCCCCACATAAACACATGTGTGGCTTGTGACTTATTATCAGCTGAGTCCTGTCATAAACTGAGCAACTGAGCAGCAGCCCGTTGCAAATCCGTTTGTCGCCTCCACGTGCCTCCACGTGCCTGGAAGAACTTGGCCCTCTCAGATGCCCAGTTTCCCACGGCTTGTGGCTGGTCACGCCCTGTTCCGCTTCCTGAGCCAGCGACTGCCGACGCTTTATACCAATCGCTGCTAACCCGCTGGCGTGGCCAAGTGGTGATATTCTAATTCTATCATTTATTTTCCTTTCTGGGTCAGAATACATTTATAAAAAGATGTTTCCCTTCATCTGCCCAGTGGTGTGGCTTGTCGAGGAAAACACATTTGATGGGTTTCAAGGAACCATAAATAGTAGATTTATGAAAACTCAGGTTGTTCCATCTCTGGCCAGAGGGAGCTTCTTTCGTTTGGCTCCCGGGTCCCCCTGCCATTACCCTAGCCAGACGTGATCACTTCCTTGTGGAACTGGTTTATTGTATCTTTTTTTAAAAAAAACTTTTTATTTTGAGGAAAAGAGAGAGAGAGGAAGAGAAGGGGAGACGGGGAGGGGCCGAGGGAAAGATTCCCAAGCAGACTCTGAGCTGTCAGCGCAGAGCCTAATGCGGGCCTGGAACCCACGAACCATGAGATCATGACCTCACCCGAAATCAAGACTGAGATGCTCAACAGCCTGAACCCCCAAGGCTTCTGTCTTTGTTCGTTTTTGAGAAATATCCACATGCGACATGGGGCCCGAACTCACGGTCCAGACTGAGTCAGCTGCAGGCGCAGCAAAGAGCTCCAAGAACACGCTTTTGTGTCGTCATTGCCATTAGTGATCTGCGAAGGGGGGTGGTGGTGGTGTTGAGTGATCTGCAGAGCCGGTGGCGGGGGGGGGGGGGGGGGGGGGGGGGGGGGGGGGGGGGGGGGGGGGGGGGCGGTGCTGAGTGATCTGCAAGGCCGGGGGCGCATCTGTGGGGCTGAGGCGTGAGGTCGTCGGTAGGGACAGCGCTCCCAGGGGCCTGGCTGCTGCCTTTACTAGGGCCAAGGAGGGGATGTAGGGTTTCAGAGGCCGGCTATTGGGGAGTTTGACGCATAAGCATGGGGAGGCCAAAACAAGGGGCCCCAATGGTCAGCTCTCAAACTCGGCTGAGAGGTGTACACCCAAGGCACCTCGGTGGGCTGGGGGGACCTGCTCGGCTGGGAGATGGGACCAGCTCGCTGGGCAGCGGCTGGCTGGCCGCTTGCTCTTGGAGTCGGCGTCTCTGCGGCAGACGCCTCAGCAGCCCGCGCTGCAGCCGAACACTCGCGAACAACTGTAGCGGAAACCCTTCCAGTAGCTGCTTTCTCGGCCCTTCTTCGGTCTCGGCTTCCCCACCACTTCCTCCTGGAAGCTTCCCCGGTCCCCGCCATCTGATGTGTCGTTTGTGTGTTCCCAGAGAAGTTCGGCTCTCCATGACCATAGGCTTCACCTTCCGGACTGCAGCCGTCTGTTTATCCATCTGCCTAGTTCCCGGGTCCCTTCCATTTTCCCAGTGCCCGCACGGTGTCAGTGTATTAGCCGGCCACCAGGAGATGGCTGTTGAACAAATGAGTGACATTCAGACACGACCATGTCATTCTCTTCTTGAGCTCACGCCGTTCCTGGCCAACCGTCCGCCGGTGCAGCCACTGCCGCGGCTCGAGTTCCCCTCATTTCGTATGTCCAGCCCTTCCCCACCCCGGCTCTCACCCTCTCTCCGTCTCCGTTATCGGGCAGGACGCACTGTGATTCTTGCTCTTACTCTCCCCCCCCTCCCAACTGCTCTTAAAGGATGAGAAATCTATTCCCATAAAACTAAGAGCTATTAAGTGGCAACTTGGTTCTGCACTCCATTTGACTTCCTCTTTTAGAATCAGTTTGGGCAAGTACAACGAAGTTCCTGTTCACGTTTCCCTACCAGAGTGGCCTTTGGAAAGTTCAGGGTGCTCCAGGCTCCCCGTGAAAGCTTTCCTTACTGGGCACACATGGCATTCCTTCATCCTCCAGACCCTGCCCTGGGCCTGCCCCGCCGCGGGGACCTCGGGGACCAGGCCTCACATCCCTGTCCGCTCGATTTCCCATCCCCCCCATGTTTCGAACCCCGCAGTGACGCTTGGGCTCCTTCTGTTCAGTGGCTTCACCCCGTCTGATGGCGTGTTCTGCAATTTTACGGAATCAGACATTTTCCCGTTCCTCCTAAATCCTCCCCGGGAACACACAGACGTGCTCTTAGGTCTCTGATCCTTAACGACGAACCCTAATCACACCGCCCTGTCCCTCTGCCGGGTGGCCAAACCTGTCCTCAGAGAGGCGGAGCCAGGGCAAGGTGCACCTCCCGGACACCGGTTCCCTGTTTGTCCCAACCCAGCGCGGGGCGCGTGCCCCATTGCCACAGCCTCACGGGGCCCTGTGAGGCCTAGCGGTAGGTCACTGGTGATGGCTGGCCTTTCCCCTTTCGGCGCTTGGTCAGGTTCTCTGCAGCCGCAGATCTCCTGTCCCCTGGGCAGTGAGCGAGCCGGGAACTCTCCTGGACGGTGGCCTGTCCTTCTCCGGTGGGCTCTTGGCCTCAGCCAGTAGCCTTATAAATGTGTCAGGCCCAAGAAGCTAGCGATAAAACATACTTCCTGTACCAGTGGCCACCATGCCTCCTGGCAGAAGCCCACGCTTCCTGCTGTCACACAGACCCCCGCTCAGAAGAGCAAACCACAGAGCCATAAATCTGCCCCTTGCATTTGCCGACTGTAGCCTTGAGCGTTCCCAGCGGGGAGCAACCTGCTCCCCTGGCCTGCGCCTTGATGTAAGAAGGTGGAGGGCTTGAGGAAGGGCCCCACTTCCTTCTCCGGCTCCAGGACGTGCTGGGCTGGAGTTTGCAGTTGGGGAGGACTGCTCAGAATGGCGGGGTCACAGTCAGTTGCAGATACATCTTTTCCTAGGCCTTGCACCCAAGGAGGCAACTCATTCCATGTCAGGGGGCAGTGGAGTGTGTGTGCGTGCGTGTGTGTTTGTGCGTGTGCGTGTGCGTGTGGCTGCGGAGCTGCAGGGGCAGGGTGGCTTCTCTGGAACATCACTCTCTTTTTTGGGTGTGGACCACGCTTCGCCTGATCATTTTACCTCAGTGCTTGGCTCTTTCCTTTCAGATGGCCTAGCACTTCTCAGCAGGGCGTCAGAGCTTGAGGCCACACGGTCCCTGCCCTGCACCTCCTCCCACCTTAATGACAAGCAAAACACACCTGTTTTTCTGATGCCCCCTAGGGCATCCCGATTCCCGGTTCAGGACTCCCTTGGTCCCGGAGACCCCCACTCAGAGTCAGACACCTGTGAGGAGCTGCTACAATCCCGCTCTCGACTGTTTTGCTCCACATTCATTACTGGTCCTTCCATCGTCACGTGAGTGCAAGCCCACCGCTGCAGCAGCTGGGCCCCCTACTGATTTCTCTGAACCTCAGTGTTCTCACACATAAAATGCACGCACAGGAAAAGCAAATGGCCTCTCCCATAGCATAGTTTGGGAGCCTCAGTGGGTTATGGTAAAGCAGTTGGGAGCTGCAGAAAGTCCTCAACTTCAGATGATGATAATCTTCTCTCCTCTCAAATGAGTATGAGTTTTCTTTTCTTGTTGACCAATTCTCTAGAAGTTCAATAACAACGTTAGCTAATACTGACAAGGGTGGGCTCACGTGACCTGCGTCTGGCTTTTGTGTCCGATTTTGGCTTTGGGATTCAGATAGATAGTGCTAAAAAGCTTTCTTCTCATTCATTACTAAGTTTTTTTGTAAGCGGGGGTATATGTGCATTGACACCACACACCTCAGCTGCATCGGTTGGGGTGATCGTATAGACCTGTCCCTCTGACCTGTGGGCACGACTGCCATCCCCACGCTCCCCAGCAGCGAGCCATCGGTAACATCGTCGAATGAACCAGACTTGGACACGGTGTGCCAGCCGTTTAATGCGAAGCCGGGTGCACGTTGCGTTTCACTGTTAGGGACGCAGAGTCGGAGAGGCCCGTGCCACGTGTCCAGTAACTTTTCGTCGATTTGCCCCCCTGCAGGCCTGGCGCAAGCGCTGGTTCGTCCTCCGGCGGGGCCGCATGAGCGGCAGCCCGGACGTCCTGGAGTACTACAGGACCAAGCACTCGAGCAAGCCCATCCGCGTGATCGACCTCAGCGAGTGCGCAGTGTGCCGGCACGTGGGCCCTGGCTTCGTCCGGAAGGAATTTCAGAATAATTTCGTGTTCATTGTCAAGACCACTTCGCGCACGTTCTATCTGGTCGCTAAGACCGAAGTGGAAATGCTGGCATGGGTGTACAGCATCAGTCAGGTCTGCAACTTCGGCCAGCTGGACGACGGTGCGGGTGAGAGCAGGGCCGGGGTTCCCGTGTGCCCGGGGGTGGCCTGGGGAGTGTCGCGCGCCCCGGAGCGCTTCTGCAGGGAAATGTGTCACGATGCCAAGCCCACCTCCTCAAGGGTGTTCAGATAGGCTCCTTGGTATCATAATTGTTCCACAAAGTACAGTTCTAGAAGCTGCTTCCTTTCACCTGGTTCTAGGTTTCAGGCCCAGCTGTGCACACATTGAGCACGACAAGTGACTTTGGTGGCTTTGAAGCCACTCTGTAGCTTTGCAGTGACAGTAGAGTGTGGGTGAGGATTTCCCGAGAGGCTCTGAGTTTCCTCGTGCTATTGCAGCTGCTGCTTTCCTAGAAATAATAAACACCACCATGTTTCCAACATTCTCTGTCGCTTGCTCTCTCGATCTCTCTCTCTCGCTCTCTCGCTCTCGCTCTCTCTCTTTCATACACATGCACACGCATGCAGTGCCCTTTCTATGTAATATGCTGGCCGTACTGCACCCAGGGTTACAATTCACTCACCGTCACAGAACTTGCTGTTGAGCTCCTGGCATCATTGCATCACGCCCTGATCCTCAACCTGTGCGACCTTGAATCTGACTTCTTTTTGCACGTTACTCTGGTAGACAACACCTCAGCCCTAGATTCCACAGTCGACCCCGTTACTGCGTGCTCCTCACCTGCCGCGGAAACACACCTCACGCCACTAGGTGGCGGTGGAGAGCCAGCCCAGCTCTCCAGGGCGGCACAGGCCGTGCGCTTCCCAGGGACAAAGTCCTGTTCCCTTCCAGAGCCTGGGAAGCTTAGTAAGCGCACCTAGCCACTCAGTCACATTACTGAGCCTCGAGAGCACTCAAACCAAAGGAAGCGAAGTGACGGCAGGCTTCCTTGCAAAGCTGCCGCGAATCCTTCCTGGCTTGCCTCCAACACCGAGCACACGAGCAGGGCCTCCGTGACCCACTCTGCCCGGCGTGCCACTCACTCTTCGCCACCCTCGTTGCCACCTTCAGCCCAGACTAGATCCGTATTCATGTGCCACGTTACGTATCTTTTCTGTTTCTTACATCATCCAGGAGTTATCCTAAAACATAGGTAGATAAGACATGTCCTAGTATCTAAGAGGAACAGGAACGAGTCAGGCACTAGGCAGAAAATTGAACGTTCTGGCATGAAGTTGGAGGAAACCGGAGACCACCCCCTATGACCTTTCTCATTCCCTGTGCCCCCACCTTAGTTTTGAGAAGGTTGTAACAGCAGAGTCCTCTTCGTCTGAGAACCACGCCCAAGGGGCTTTCTTGTGGCTTCTCACATAAACCGTTTGGTTCCGTACGCAGCAACCATAGGTAGTCAACACATCATGAGTGCTCTGGCCAGGAACCCTGTTAAATGCTTCTGTGTATGAGCTCATCTTATCCCCAGACCGATTTTGTGGCATAGGCACTATTAGCATCTCCACTTTGCAAAGAAGCAAACTTGCAGCAAGCAGGTAACTTAACCAAAGTCACAACAGCTAGACAGTAGAGCCTGGACTTGAACTCGGGCACTTCTGGGCCCCTCTGACTCAGGAATCTGGAACATCTGCCAACTTGGTTCAAAGGGGAAATAAAGGCAGGCTCCTCACGGGAAGTTTCTGAATGCCGCGCTCCTTGAGAAATGCTGCCTTTGCCTTTGCATCTCTTTCCTCTTCCTCACACATCGTTAACAGTATTCTTTCTTTGTGACTTATTTGTCTGTCTCCCATAATGGCCTGTAGACTGCAGCGAGGGCAGGGTCTTTGTCTTGGCAGACTTAGAACAGTTCTGCACACATAGTAGGTGCAATAGTAGGTATTCCACGTAGACGTAGACATGTACGTGTGTACTGCATGAATACATCCCTGCTCCCACACGTATGTGAGTACATGCATATGTATTATGCATCAATGTACGTGTATACGTATGTATTTGTTGAACGCATAAACAGTAATGTAGGGCTACGGCTGAGAGCCATAAAGGAGCTGTGAGTGGACTCTGTTACCACAGACTCTTAGGCCAAGAATGCTTGGCTTTTTTTACTCTTAATTGATTCAACACTTTGCTCTTGGAACATTGGCCTTCTTCCCCAGACATTGTTTATAGCTCAGGGAAACGGTCTCCTCCGTCAGTACAAACACCAGCTGTGATTTGCATCTTCGATTTGGCTTCTTCTTTGCTGTCGGAGGACTTGTGAGTGAGTGCTATGGCCGTTCTCAAATGTTAACCCAGGAAATGATTTCTCCAGCAGATTCCATGGAGAGCTTCCCGCACACGGCCTCCTCCCTGCAGCCAGCCCCCGCCACCAGCTCCCTGCCCGCCGCCTGCGCTGCCGGCTCCTCCCTGCCAAGAGATGCTCCGAGCGCTAACGCCATCACCCCTGAGGAAAGCGGGAGTGAGTCCGAGTTCCTCTCCCTTCCCGATTATCTGATTCTGTCCAACTGTGAGACCGGAAGACCACGTCACACCAGGTATGCACATTTGCGGAACGTCCGCCACCTTCTCTGGTGGGCTCTGTTGTGGACATGTGTTCCGCGTGCCTGACAGGACAGAGCAGCGCCTTCCAGTGGGTGTGTCTCCCCTCACCACTTCCTGCTGCAGCCAAGGTGGGGACATGGCACCATCGCCACTGTGAGGGATGAGTCCTGCGTGTCAGCACTGTGGCTTTCGTTTCTAACCTTGCATTTTCCTATGTATCTGACCCCAGGAGGATGGCAAACCCAACAAACCGTTTGTTCCTGCAACTGAGGCTTGGTTGTAGAGGCAATGTGAGAGGCACGGGAGAGACGCCAGTGTGCGTTTCATCTATGGATCGATGGCTTCCTGCTTTTTTTTTTTTTTTTAAGTTTATTTGTTTATTTTGAGACAGACGGGGCGCCTGGGTGGCTCAGTCGGTTAAGTGTCCGACTTTGGCCCAGGTCGTGATCTCATGGTTTGTGGGTTCGAGCCCGGCGTCGGGCTCTGTGGTGACAGCTCAGGGCCTGCAGCCTGTTTCAGATTCTGTGCCTCCCTCTCTCTCTGACCCTTCCCCATTCATGCTCTGTCTCTCTCTGTCTCTCAAAACATAAATAAATGTAAAAAAAAATTTAAAAGAGAGAGACAGCGCACAGGTGGGAGGGGCAGAGACAGAGGGAGACGCAGAATCCCAAGCAGGCTCTGCTGTATCAGCGCAGAACCCGACGCAGGGTTCAAACCCACAATCTGCAAGATTATGACCTGAGCCAAAATCAAGAATTGGAGGCTCAGCCCACTGAGCTACTCAGGTGCCCTGGCTTTCTTCTTCTGACTTCAACCATGGACTTGCTTCATTTCACTCAAATTTATATGCTTTTCTTCCCTCAGTTTACCCACCAGATGTGATAGCTGGTCAAACTCAGACCGCTCGTTGGAACAGACTTCACTTGATGACGTTTTTGTTGACTGCCTGCAGCCCGTGCCGCCCAGTAACGTGGTCCACCCCTCACACCACGGGAATGGGTCTCAGAAGGTACCTTCCACGAAGCCTCAGGCTGCCCTGATACGGAGTAGAGATATCAATGGGCCAGCCAAGGACCACTTTTCTTCACCATTGCTGGAAACTTCCTTAAATTCCACGATTCAGTTAGATAAAAACCAAGGTTCCTTGCCCTATGCGGTAAAAGAACCAGACATCGTGTCCAACATGCCACCTCCCCGTCCCCCTAAGCCAAGCCATCTCTCTGAACGGCGCCAAGAAGAACAGGTCCTGTGGAGCGAGCATGGCGGCATCAAGAAACCAGAGTGCAGTATGGCAGCGAGAAGAATCTCTCTGTCTGGTTTAGATAACATGAGAGCCTGGAAAGGTAAGTGGTGGACGCGAACAGCAGGACGCCTACCTCTTTTTCCTCCTTCTGCCCACACGAGGGCGCCGCTGAGTTCTCCCAGGAGGGCCAGGCCACTGGTGGGCGCGCACAGCCGGAAAGCTGGCAGTTCTCCTTCAAGTCCAGGGCCGGCAGACGCTTTGGTCCCTGTGGCTGCTAAAGGAAGTGGGAGCCCTTGTCCATTAGCCGTGCCCCTGTCCACGTGTCGGGCTTCCCCACTGGGACGAAGCTCCTGGTGGTTTTTTTTTGTTTTGTTTTTTGTTTTTAATTTTTTTAATATTTATTTTTGAGAGAGAGAGACAGCGTGAGCAGGGGAGGGTCAGAGAGAGAGGGAGACACAGACTCTGAAACGGGCTCCAGGCTCTGAGCTGGCAGTCAGCACAGAGCCCGACGCGGGGCTCGAACCCACGAAACCGTGAGATCATGACCTGAGCCGGAGTCGGACGCTTAACCGACTGAGCCCCCCGGGCGCCCCTCCTGGTATTTGTTTGGAGTCACTCAGGATCCCACTCGTACAGAAGGTGATATGTTTTGCCTCAGTTCAGCCAGATTCCATGCGTTGGCCCTGGCGTGCGTAGCGAGAACCGGAGGGTAGACCCCAGCTCTTTGGTTCTCCAGCAGCCCTGTCAGCCCCGTTTATCCCGCCACCCGACCCGTTCTTTCACATTTCACCAGCCAGGCGCTAGGGAGGTAGCCCGCACCGAGCTGTCAGCACCAAGGTGAAGCCGACCCAGCCCTATCAGCTTGCTCTGCCAGCATGCCTCCCGGAGCCCTCTTTTCCCTTTTCTGGAAAGTTGTTTTTGCTGATGGCGTTGCTTGCTGCCCGCCCTCCCCCTTCATCCCACACCGCTATTCCCACCAAATATAATCAAGATAATCACTCCCACACTGCTACCTATAAGGTCCTATCTTAAAGGAAGTTTGCAAGTGTAAGGAATGCAAACCCACTTCAAATTGTATAAATTTCTCATTCTGACTGAGCAGCTAAGTCTTTCTGGCAAAGACCTCCCCCGGTATCCCTAGTGATGTGACCTTTACACATTACAGCTCTGGGGCAACCTCGAGCCCACAAAGGATCCTAACGAGCTAGCGTGGGGATGGTGGGCGGAAAGGGAAAGCTGTGGAAAGTGAAGTGACCAGACCAGTTGGATGATAGGATATGAAAATGAATCAAAAGTCTCAAATCGAAGGAGCACCTGGCAGGCTCAGTCGGTAGAGCGTGGGACTCTTGATCTCACGGTTGTGAGTTCGAGCCCCACGTTGGGTGTAGAGATTACTTAAAAAGAAAATCTTTGGAAAAAGGGCAAATTGAAGAGCAAAAATATCGAACCAATTTAACATTTTAAGACATAAAACAATTAGGTTGTATTTTTTACATGAAGGCAAACAAAAGCTAAAACTCACTAATATAGAGGTTTTGACCATGAAATAAAGACCAAAACAACAGTGATGGATAGAAACAGAATGGATCCAATCAGAGGGAATACGTCAGATCAATTGTTCTACCTTCCCCATTGAGGAATTGTGGTTGTGCGTGGCAGCAGAGTGAGGTCAAGGTTCACTACCGTTCACGTGGATCCCTATCCAGTGACCGGGCACCATTGATTGGAAAGGCCCCTGGATTCCCCACACCTTCCAGCACCCCGTCTGCTGTAAGTGAAATGCTGTCTGTTGCGGGTGATGCATCTTTGTTCCCATTGGCCCTGGGGTCCACTCTGCACCAATGTCACACTCCCTTCGTTATTGACAATTCTGTCTGGAAGCCTTCCCACCTGCTCTTAAAGACTGCCGTGCCTGTTCTAGGCCAAGTTTAGAGTCTGCTGATCAGGGTGCAGACGTACATACATAAATACATTGGGGATTTGAGGAAGGTTGCATCGTATCTAAAGACCGATTTGTGAAGATTTGACATCCGTACAATGTTGCGCTTTTCTTTTCATGAAGAGGAGATACCCTTTCATTTATGAGTCTTAGTTGGTTTCTGTGTATAATTTCATTTATACATTTTAGCAAAGCCTTGGGTATTTCTTATTAATGTGTTCTCATGTATTTTTTTTAGTTTGAGATGGAGAGAGAGAGAATCCCAAGCAGGGCACTATCAGCATGGAGCCTGATTGGGACTTGAATTCATGAACTGCGAGATCATGACCTGAGCCTAAATCAAGAGTAGGAGGCTTAACCAGATGCTTAACTGACTGAGCCACCCAGGCAGCCCTAGCTTTTCTTTTTTCAAAAAAAATATTTTTATTTATTTCTTTATTTCTTTATTTATTTTAAGAGACAGAGAGAAAGAGCAAGCGTGTGTGCAAGCAGTGAAGGGGCAGGGTAGGGGGAGAGGATCCCAAGCAGGCTCTGCACTTTCAGCGCAGAGCCCAACATGGGGCTCGATCTCCCAAACCGTGAGATCATGACCTGAGCTGAAATCAAGGGTCAGACACTTAACCGAATAAGCCCCCAGGTGCCCCTATATCTAGCTTTTCTAAATTGTTTTAATGTTTTATTTATTTCTGAGAGAGAGAGAGAGAGACGGAGACAGCGTGAGCAGGGGAGGGTCAGAGAGAGAGGGAGACACAGACTCTGAAACAGGCTCCAGGCTCTGAGCTGTCAGCACAGAGACCAATGCGGGGCTCGAACTCACGAACCGCGAGATCATGACCTGAGCCGAAGTTGGACGCTTAACGGACTGAGCCACCCAGGTGCCCCATGTATCTAGTTTTTCTAAACTGTAGATTATGTTGCATTTTCCTTGTGTACAATCACATTACATACAAATACTAATAATAATTTCATTTCATCATTTTAAAATGTTTATTTTTGAGAGAGAGAGAGAGAGAGACAGAGAGGAAAGAGAGTGAGAGCGCGAGCAGGGGAGGTGCAGAGAGGGAGGGAGAGGATCCAAAGCAGGCTCTGCACTGTTAGCAGAGAACCTGGTGCGGGGCTGGAACTCACAAACCTTGAGATCATGACCTGAGCTGAAGTCAGTTGCTTAACCAACTGAGCCACTCCGGCGCCCCCATTTCATCCCTTTTTTTTTTTTTTTTTTTTTAGATTTTATGTTTATAAGTAATCTCTACACCCAACGTGGGGCTCAAACTTACAAGACCTAGATCAAGCGTCACATGCTCTAATGACTGAGAAGACAGGCGCTCCTTCATTTCGTCTTTTATAACACATATCTTTCATTTGCTTTTTTTCCTGTCACTGCTTTGGCTAGGAAGTCCGACACAGCGTTGAATAGGGGTCCTTGTCTTATTCCTGACCTCAGATGGGAAGCTTCCAGCGTTTCCCTGTTACAACGTAACGTTTCAGCGCTGTAATGCGGCTTGCAGAGTTTTGTACATACCATTCACGCCATTTATTAGATTAAAGACATTCTCTGATGACCTTACTTTGCTAAGTTTTTATTTTTTATTTATTTTTAGACCGCTCAGCCACACCACCTTTTTTAATTAATTTATTTATTTTTTAAATATTTTTTTAAATTTATTTCTAGTAGAGAGAGAGAGACAGCGTGAGGGAGAGTCAGCTGTGCTGACTGCCAGCTCGGAGCCTGGAGCCTGTTTCAGCCTGTGACTCCCTCTCTCTCTGACCCTCCCCTGCTCACGCTGTCTCTCTCTCTCTCCTAGAAATAAATAAAAAATATTAAAAAAAAAAAATGTTTATCTTTGAGAGACCGAGAGAGACCGTGTGAGTGGGTGAAGGGCAGAGAGAGGGAGACAGAATCAGAAACAGGCTCCAGGCTCTGCGCTGTCAGCACAGAGCCCAACACGGGGCTCGAAATCAAAAAGCCGTGAGATCATGACCTGAGCCGAAGTCGGACGTTTAACCGACTGAGCCGCCCAGGCGCCCCGCCAATAGTTGCTCTTAAGGACAGTATTGGGACAGCAGCAGTGTTGGAATAGGGAGTATATCGTAGCTGTAATTTTGGTAGGTGCTGTAAATTGGTTTAACTAATTGTGAAGGGCAATTTTGGCTACAGATATGCTGACTCATGTGAAAAATGACATGTACGTGGTTGGTGAGTGAAAATGATTTGCGAAAAATTGGAATTAACCTTAATGTCCGTTAATAGAGACAGGGTTAAATTCATTATTTTATATCCATTCAATGGATCGGTTCATTTTGGAAAAACGAGTCAGATAGTTCTCTGCCTGTGTTACATAATAATACTGTGAGAATTTGGGTTACCACGTGCCTGCATTGAGGGTCTCCTGCGGGGCATCCTTGGAGGCGGGCCTGCTAGCAGGAAGCGCTCTCCGTCGCTGTTCCTCTGGGGATGGTTTTATTTTGCCTTCGTTTCTGACATACGGTTGTTCTGGATGTAGAATTCTCATTGTTTCTTTTAGCATTCTGAAAGTGTAGTTCTGCCACCTTCTGGCCTTCCGTTTCCCGTGAGTAGTAGTTGGCTGTTAACCTCATGGCGATTGTCTTATACACAAAGAGCCGGTTTTCCCTCCCTGTGTCCACGGTGTCCTCCCTGCCCCTGATTTTCAGCACTTCGACTGGGATGTGTCTTGGTCTTGATGTGCTTGTGTTTAGCTCACTTGAATTTGGGGCACTTAGGTTGACTCCTTCCTGAGGTCAGCGTGCTGTGTTTCTGGCTGTTTCCCATGCCTGGCACTGGGGTCCCCGTCCCCAGTAGAACCCCTGCCGATCGGCCAGTGAGGGGCTTGGGAACACCTCAAGGTAAAATGCCACAGACTTGCGCTGTTCTTACGTGATGTCCAGCAGTTTTTCTTGAATAAATGCTTTCCAGCTGTTGTGTGCTTTTGGTGACTTTGAAGAGTCTCAAAATAGTTATTGTTGTTGTTTTAAATAAGTTTGTACACTTTTATCATTGCTTTTTGGAAATGGCTTTGCTGGGCTCTTCACTCAGCCAATTTAGTAGCCCTGTCCTCCTCTGCTGATACTTTGCTTAGGATTTTTGCCTTGATCGTCACAAATGATATTAACCTGCAATTTTCTGATTTGCTTTATCTTTATCAAGTCGAGCACCGAAGTTATACTTGCCCCCTAAAAAGGATTAGAAATATGCTTTTATTGGGGTGCCTGGGTGGCTCAGTTGGTTAGGTGCCTGACTTCAGCACTTTCTCACGGTTCATGTCTTTGAGCTCAGTGTCAGGCTCCATGCTGACAGCTCAGAGCCTGGAGCCTGCTTCGCATTCTGTGACTCCCTCCCTCTCTCTCTGCCCCTGTCTTGCTCATGCTGTGTGTGTGTGTCTCTCTCTCTCTCTCTCAAAAAATAAACATTAAAAATTAAAAAAAAAAAAGAGAAGAATGAAGAAACTGTGTTTCTCTGCCCTGATCTCCAAGGTATTAAGTGGAAAAAACAAGTTGCAGAACAGTGAGTATAATATGCTACCATTTGTGTTAAAAAGGAATATATAAAGAAGTGTGTGTGCGTGTGTGTGTGTGTGTGTGTGTGTGTGTGTGTAGACACATATATGTACACAGATGGTCTCCTGACTTACGATGGTTCGGTTTAGGATTTCTTGACTTTATGATGGTATGAAAGCAGTATGCATTCAGCAGAAACTGTACTGAGAATTTTGAGTCTGGATCTGTCCCGGGCAGATGGTACATGGTCCAATGCTCTCATGAAGCTGGGTGGCAGTGGTCAGGAGGCTAACCAACCAACACTAACAGCCGTTTGGGTTTTCACTTTTGGTACAGTATTCGTTAAGTTACACAGGGTAGCCAACGTCTGGTTAGCAAGTAGGCTTCTGTGTTGGCCGACTTTGCCCAGCCGTAGGTGCTCTGCGCGTGTCACAGGCCGGCTAGGCTAAGCCATGATGTTCAGTAGGTTAGGTCTAGTGAACACTTTTTCGGTTGAGGATATTTTCAATTTAGGGTGCCTTTGTCAGGGCACAAGCAATCAAGGAAGTAGAGGAAGATCTTCGTGGGACGCACAATCTTAATTCCGCTAATCTTCATTCCACCTTCCAATGCTGGGAATTATTCTTTGACTTGAGGATGATGGGGACTCTTCAGTTTGTTTTCCCGAGGCACCCGGACCTCATGTCTGCGTGCTCTGGGACAGCGCCTCCCGGGCCCGCACTTGCTTCCTGCTCCTTGAATGTTGGGAATCACTAGGGTTTTGTCGTTAACCTTCTCTGAACACTTACAACTTCGGTAAACCCATCCACTCTTCTGGATGTGACCGCCATCTCTGAGCCCCCAATTGCCCAAAATCATATCTCGTTTGAATTGAAGCCCATTTATCTTGTGGCCCTGCCTTCTGGACATGGCTTCTTTCCATCTGACAATTATTCTAAGGTTTTATGTCATGCTGTCACATCCATCTGACAAGTTTCTAATCCTGGATTAATCCAAACTTTCCTCTTACTCCAAGCCTGGGTGGCTGACCACCGCTATAGGAAACCCCGGTCACCAGTTCGGGATCACAGGTCCCTGGTGTGCGCCGCCTGGTGCTGCTCCGTGGTGCCGTGGTGCCCTCGCCCGCCCGCTCATCGCAAGGGTCGTTTATTAACTCCCTGCTGTCTCTGCTCCTAATTCACAGACGGGACTGAAGCCATCATACAGAAACTCGGAAATCTGCTCTGATTTCCACCTGTTGGGGACACTGTTCTGACGGCCTGAGTAGCCTGAATAGCGAGCTTTACGCATAGAAACCGTTTTTGTGCCTCTTCCCTCCGGAGCGGAGCAAATGCGCCGAGGTGCATAGGGACTCGGACCCTAGTTTCAACTGATACTGTCTTGCGTTTCTCACCCCCGGCTTGTTTCTTACAGCTGACCCAGAGGGCCAATCCCTAAGACACCGAGACAAGCGGCTTAGTTTAAATTTGGTAAGTTTGGCACCACAGTTCCTTTAAGCCTCAGTTTTACCACAAATCGCCCGACCGATGTGTGCTGCCTTGAAGCCTTGTGAGACTCAGCACTGAATCTCTGAGGACCCTTTCAGTCTCCCCTAAGGCTTGAACTTGTCTGGAGACTATTGCTCTTCGCGTTCTATAAGGACCCTTCCAGTTCTGATGTTCAGACGCTTGTGTGCCTCGGGGTGTGGGACTTAAGGCATCACATCACACGGAGAGCGTTTGTGTGACTTCATGACCTTCTAGCATCAGATCCAAGGGCGTTCTCGCCTGCCTCGTATGATAGGAGCAGGGGCCGAGCTGGAGTTAGAGGCTTACCTGACTTTCTCAAGGAAGTTCAGAGTTATTCTTGGGTACTTTGCAAGTGAACCCCTGTGCGCGGCCTTGGCCATGCTCGCGACCTGCACCCATTCTCTTGCAGCCATGCGGGTTCTCCCCGGCGCACCCCACGGCTTCAGCCCATGCCGAAGATGGCTACGTGCTCATGGGCCCTCAGGCGGCCACAGCTGCTGTGAGAACCCACTGCGGCCGTGATGACTACATCCCCATGAGCCCCGGGAGTGTATCGAGCCCACTGCCTGAGCTCCCTGCGGACGCGGAGCCTCCCCCAGTGAACAGAGATCTCAAGCCTCAGAGGAAACGTAAGCTGCCCGAGCAGGGGAGGGGAGTAGGGCCTAGAGGCCTCGTGCAACGGTTTCCTTCTTGACTATCTCTGGGGAGAAAGCACTGGAGGAGCCGTCCCAGAGGCCTGGGAGGCGTAAGGGTGAGGAGCGATGGCCGGGATGGAACCGGAAGGGCTGGCCGACCTCGCCACCTCAGACCGAGGAAAGGAGTCACAGGACTTAGGGCATGGTGGTCCTGCGAATGCGGCCTACGATGCCAAGTTCATTCCAGAGAGTCCATCTTTGGCTGCTTCCCTAACGACGGCCCACACATGGGTAATGACGGATGCGGATGAGAGCCGCCTGGCACCTCTCTTTGAACACACTTGGATGTAATCACAGTGAGGTAGTCAGGAATGACTTCTGACCCGAATTGGTGAATGTCAGACCTGGTCGTAGGCAGCTGGTCACCCACTGCCCTGTGTGCATCCATCAGCAGAGGTGGCCGGGGGCAAGGAGTCCGGACCCTCTGGGCACAGAGCTCCTCGAAGCTTCTGCGTTACTCCCAGGCAGCTCCTCTGGGCTGCAGACAGCACGGACAGAGAGAGAGAAAGGAGGAGAGGGAAGGAAAAGCAGGCCGAAGGAACGTGCTACCTTCATTCCCGCCCCTGCCCCCTGCCGAGTAGGTCTGGTGACTCCCAGGAGTTGGGTCTGTTGCCACCTCTGTTTGCCCTTTGGAAAAAGTACCACTTCAGGTAGTCACGCCCCAACCTGGTCATTAGCCCCACCTCCCCCGTGCCTGGTCCTTCGAGCCTCACCCCTTCAGTGTGAGTCCAGCTACACTTCCGGCCTGTTTGCTGTGTGCGTGGTGCTGTGCCAGGCGCTGTCGCGGGTGGGGGGAGGAAGCAGGTTCCCCGGTGGGCGGGGGCAGAGCACAGGTGACAACCAGCGGGAAGGAGGAGGATTATGAAGTCGGTACCACATAGGAGAGCGGACCCTGTCTTACGAGGTTCAGAGGAAATAACCCTTCATTCTGCTCAGAAGCAATTTCACAAGGACCTGGAGCTCTGAGGTAGATGTTGTTTTGCTTAGTTAATTTTCCATAGCAACGCCTATCCAACAGAAGTTTCTGTGATGACAGAAATGTAGCTATCGAGCCCTTGAAATGTGGCCGGCACAGGCGAAGAACTGAATTTTTATGGACTATATCCCCCATGCTGAATTTTAAATTTCATTTAATGTTGATAAATATAAATTTAAATAGCCACATGTGACTGGTGGCTGCCATATTGGACAGCGCGGCCCATAGGACCTGGCGATTAGAGGCGTGAACGTGTCGTATGGACTTACGGCTGGGGAGCCAGTGGGTGGGTGTCCAGGGGACCCCTGGGCCAGGAGGGTAGGCTCCGACAGGCATGGCTGCAGGGGAGAGGGCAGGTGGAGAGGCCAGGAGGTGGCCGGTTGCTGAGGCCGATGCCAGGGCATCATGGCCATCAGGAGAGACCTTCCCGCCAGAGACTATGAGGCTCAGCACCTCGCCCAGGTCAGAGGCTCCTGGGAAAGTGAGCAGCAGGAGTCGCTGTCCTGGGTTCTGATGATACGGAGGAGGCGTAACCAGTCTCCAGCCGTGCCATCTAGTGGAGGAAATGAAAGCAACCTGGTTAAGGCCGCGGTAGCGGGATATAGGCCTGTCTGTGACACAGGGCCTGATCTTGTCTGGAGGTCAGAGAAGGCTTTCCTAAACAGGGGACATTGAGCTGAGATCTAAAGATGAGTAACCAGGCAGAGAGATGGGGAGGAATGTTCTAGGTAATATCAGGTAGACAATTGGGAGGCGGGGAGAACTGGAACCTCGGTGATCATCTCTGCCTGTAATAAGAGAGGTAAATTTTCAATTTTGGACACACCAAGCGTAAGGTAGGTGTTTACATCCCATAAGGTCAGGGACTTTCATCTGTTTTGCTCACACTGTGCCTCTAACACCTAGAACTGTACCCAAGGCGCAGTGAGGTCTGAAATGCATACTGACTATGTGTACTGTCCCATTGCCGCCTCTAGCTGTAACATGACCAGTGAGGCAGGGAGGGGTGGGTCAGCAAAATTCCCACTCATCGTCACGGCTGCTCGTTAGTAAATCTGGATTTGATGTGCCAAGTGGAATGTCTTCATTTTCGTCTCTAGATTCTGGCCCTTCACTCCTGAGCACTTACCACCCTGGGTATTGTGTATTCTCTTACAGCACGGCCACCCCCTCTGGACCTGAGCCACCTGTCCACCATCAGGGAACACGCGTCTCTAACCAGGACCCACACCGTGCCTGGGTACGTCTTTGATTGCTCAGAGGGGCCTCAGCCAGCACAGGCGCTCCTGGTTTTCGAGAAGCGTCCTTGATGAGATGTAGTTGAGGCCCACCTGGTCTAGCTTAAGTCAAAGGGGGGATGGGGTTTGTTACCATGAGCCGGAGGTCGTGCATAGATCACGAAGGAAGGAACGTAACTGCATGTCCCAGGATGGTGGAGCCAGGAACTAGCTGTTGCGAACCCAGGGAACCCCCCCATCGCACACGTCTGCTTCTCTCTTCCCGTTTTCTCTTCTGTCTCTGGGGAGCCTTTGTCGCCGTGGCACAGGCCTCATGGCCGTGGATACCTGTACCAGGGCTCGTGAGCTCCTTTACACGCTACGATCCAGGACCAACAGAGACGGGCTCCTTTCCAACCCCAACTCACATTTCCTGGGAGAGCGATTGTACCGCCCCAGCATGAACGGAGTCACCTGTGGCCGGGGTGAGGGTGGGGGGCAGTGGGACTGATGTGGCTTCAAGAAGCCTGACCTCACGAACGGAGTAGGACAAGGGAGTTCTCAGAGGAAGAGATGGCTCGTGGACCTGCAGACAAGCCCCAGCGCGTATCTGCGCGCTCTCACTGCACCTGTCCAAAGTTGTATTTTCCGAGTGTCGAGCCTGGCCCAAGGGCTTCCCGGTTCACTCTGAATGTCACGGCAGACAGTCACTTAGCCAAGCAGGACTCTGCAGTGGCTCTGCTTCCAGTCATGATGCCCAGAGATGCAGCCTGTGCTTCTGACTTGGGAGGAGGGTGAAACCTGACCTGCAGGCTTTTTCTGGTCCCATCAGAGGAATGGCCACAGCTCGCGACTTTTGCTGGCCACTCTGAAGAGAAACCGGAGAGCCCCAGAGGAGAGTGTTGTTTTTGTTTGTGTTTTTTTCCTAAACAATATGATGCCTTGGCCTGTTTCTAGAAAGCTCATGGGCTGTGGCACATAGAGGGCCTGGAAACAAGGGGCCCCTGAGAGGTGGGAGCCATTTGGCCCAGCACGGGACAGAAGCTGGGCAGTCTCTTCCGCTTCGGGGACTGCTGTGGCCAGAAGGAAATTGTATGTGGAAGGGGGACGGGGCTGCAAACGCCGTGGGGACCGTGTCAGTTCCTGGCTGGCTTTCAGAGCAGCTGTAAGACTTTGCTTTGACCTCATCTATATTTTTGTTCCCTAGCAATCGAACCAGATTTCTCTCTCCAGAAAGAAATGGTATTAATTCTGCAAGATTTTTTGCCAATTCTGTTTCCAGAGAAGAGGAAGAAAGCTACATCCACATGGTAATCCTCTGTTTCGCACTCTGTGTGTGTTTCGCCTCAATCCATAGTCTCACGGGTTCATTATAAAGGAAACACGTACTTCAGAGAGCCCCCGGCAGCCTTAAACCACTCACTTGAATGTAATACCAGGGTACTGGCAATAAATCAGTTTGGAGCTGGTTTTCTTTCCTGTGATAGTCAGCTCCTCATACCATTTCGAGGCCACGGTACTTCAGGGGGACCCAGGCTGGGGCATCTGTAATGGGAAGGTGCAAATGTCAACAAATTTTTTCACCAGGGCTGCGATATCCAATTTGATCTCAATGACTTTGTTAACATTTTTTTTTAATGTTTATTTGGTTTTGAGAGAGAGAGAGGCAAACAGAGTGCCAGTGGAGGAGGGTGAGACAGAGAGGGAGACACAGAATCCGAAGCAGGCTCCAGGCTCTGAGCTGTCAGCACAGAGCCCGTTGCGGGGCTCGAACCCGTGGTCCACAAGATCATGACCTGAGCCAAAGTCGGACACTTTACTGACTGAGCCACCCGGGCGCCACTGATCTCAATGACTCTGTAGCTCTCTGGTTGTTCAGAGTCTAAGCTGTGAAAACCCACACGTGTATTCCTTTCTAGCAGACCCCTGTCAGCCTGGCCCCGATTGCCTCTGAACCTCTCGGAAGGATGACTCAGAGTCCCATTGGGAGGGAATACAGTGTCCTGGGCTGTGCATGTGCCTGAGTCCCCGCAGACCCAGGTTGTAGGGTCTCTGTATAGACCTGAGTAGCCAGAGATCTGCCAACTCCATCATTTCGTTCATTTACTGATCTCCCCTCATGCCCTGCACTGTCCCCTCTGTTCTCTTTGCTCTGGACTGTATTGGGAGCACAGGTGTTTGGAGACCGAGGGCCGGGGGTTGGGAGGCACGTGAGCCAGGGAGCGTCCCTGGGAGGCCTGGGAAGTAGTGAAGAGAGATCTTAGCAGAGCAATGTTCAGGACACCGTGACTCCAGGTACTTCTGAGAAGGCAGTGCCGGCCCTCCTGTTCATGGGCTTAAGAGGCGAGCGACAATCTAAGAACCACAGTCTCCAGGGAAGCAGTAATCAGTTGCTTCACTTTGCCTTTCTATTTGATAAAACTTGTGCTGTAAGTTCACTTAAACATATGCAGGTGGAAAGTGACTCATATACAAATCTGCTGTGGTCTTCCCATGTTTTTCACACTTAGTAATGGCCCTTGGGAAACTTCTAGAAGAAAACACTCTTCTAAAGGATACTGACCAGCTGTGCTGTGTCTCCAGAGGACACGAAAGGGAAGGGAATCTATAACCTAAGAGGAGCGAGCGCGGAGCCATTCCAGACGAGTCCATCCCTGGTCTTTGAGGTTCTGACAAGGAGCAGTGTTGCATTCACAGCACTTTCTTGCCCGAGTTTATCATCACTACTTAGTGACTGTCTGGGCGTCGCTAGGCAGTAGGACACTGCACACGAAGAGCCCAGAATCCCTGCTGGGGAGGGTAGCTGTGGGAGAAGCACCTTCCACGTGCGCAGTAGGCTCATAGTGTCAGACGGCCGTTACACGACCTCGCTTGTTTCATGCCTACAGGACTCCCAGGGTTTGCTGTTCATTTGGATAGAATCGTATGGGTTCATTTTTTCTTCCCTTTGAGAACAAGTTCTGATCTGAATGTAAACATTGACATCAGGGGCTGAAATACGAAGTTTGTTGTATTAACATTATGCATCCTTTTTTAGTTTCCTTAAATATTTGTGAAATTATAGAAAACTCAGAATAAGTAACCTAATTTTAACTTCTGTGATCTCCTTTTTTTACAGGTTTTTCAAATTCTTTAATTTCAATAGTTTTGTAAGACTTTTTTTTCCTTGAGAGAGAGAACACAAGCAGGGGAGGGGTAGAGAGCGAGGGAGAGAGAGAATCCCAAGCGGGCTCCACGCCATCAGCGCAGAGCCCAGTGCGGGGCTTGAATCCATGCACCCTGAGATCATGACCTGAGCTGAGATCAAGAGTCAGATGCTTAACTGACTGAGCCACCCAGGCGCCCCTGTAAGGCTTTTACAGTAGAATTCTAGGCTCCTAATCTCACAATAAATGTTCTATTAGGCCTTATAAGACTCTTTTTAGATTATCTTTTGTGGCATTGACTTTCTCAGTGTGCGGTTCTATGAATTTTAACATATGTGTTATGTTCTATGTTATATGTAAATTCATAAATATGAAGTTTTACGTATATGTTTTATAATTTTTACATATATGAATTTTAACATATTTAACATATATGTAACCACTGCCACGATCCAGACACAGGGCAACTTCAAGATACTCCCTCATGCCACCTCTTTATAGTCACACCCTTCCACAACCCTAGTCTCTGGCGACCACCTCTGTGACCTTCATCACTCTAGTTTTGTCTCTTCGAGAACGTCACGGAAACAGAATCATAGAGCATGCCATCTTTTGCAACTGGTTTCCTTCACTCAATATAATGTCTTTGAGACTCACCCAAAGCATAACATGTGTCAGGAGTTCTTTCGGTTTTATTGTGAGTATGGGTGTGCCCCACTTTATCTGCCTACCCATCGAAGGACATTTGGATAGTTACAAGGTGTGTGACATTTATGAATAGAATTGTTATAAACATTCTTCTTTAAAAGTAACCTCCACACCCAACATGGGGCTTGAACTCATGACCCCGAGATCAAGAGTTGCGTGCTCTACCCACTGAGCCAGGCAGATGCCACGCAAACATTCTTTTACAAATTTTGTTTTTTTATTTTTATTTTTTACTGTGGTAAAATATGCCTACCATAAAATTTACCATTTTAACCACGTTGAGATGTACAGCTGGGCAGCATTTAGCTGCATTTACAACATTGTGCGACCATCACCACTATCTGCTTCCAGAGCTTTTTCATCATCGCAAATAGAATCCTGTACTAAACACTAAACAGTAACACCCTAGTCCCTGTCTACACCTCTGCTCTACTTCCTGTCTCTCTGAAGGTGCCTCATGTAAGTACAGCCATACGACATTTGTCCTTTTGTGTCTGCCTTTTTTCATTTAGCAGAGTGTCTTCAAATTTCATCCATATTATCCCATGTATCAGATTTTCATCCCTTTTTTTTTTAAATTGTTTTAAGATTTGAGAGAGAATGAGCAAGGAGAGGAGGGGCAGAGAGAGAGGAAGAGAGAATCCCAAGCAGGCTCCATGCTGTCAGCGCAGAGCCCGACACGGGGCTTGCACTCACGAACCTTGAATTGAAATCAATAGTCGGACACTTCACTGACTGATCCACCCGGGAGCCCCTCACTCCCTTTTTAAGGCTAATACTCCGTTGTATGGAGAGACCACAGTTTGTTTACGCATTCATCTGTTGGTGGACATTTGGGTTGTTTCTACCTTTTGGCTCTTATGAGTGAGGCTGCTGTGAACATTGGGGTACAAGCATCTGAGTCTTCGCTTTCAATTCGTTTGGATATATCGCTAGTGGTGGGGTTGCTGCGTCCTCTGGTAGTTTGCCTTTAACTTTTTGAGGAACCATCAAACTGTTTTCTGCCAGCGATGCAGAAGGTTCTGACTCCTCTGCGTCCTTGCCAGTGCTGCTTGTTTCCCTTTGTTTGTTTGTTTCTAATTATGGGCATCCTGCTGGGTGTGAAGCGGTGTCTCCTGGTGGCTTCTGTTTGTATTGCCCCCACGACTATGATGTGGAACATCTTTTCATGTGCTCATTGGCCATTCGTAGATCTTTGGAGAAGTGTCTAATCAAGTCCTTTACTCATTTTTTTTTATTAGATTGTTTTTGTTGAGTTGTAGAAGTTTTTTCAAAAATATATGGGTGGCTTCACTTTCTTTAATAGTTGTAGGACCGTTAACCCATTAACGTGATCTATGTAATCTTGGGTGAATTTTGGTTATTTGTCAGATGCTTTATAAATTTACCTTTCACAGTTAGGTCTGCAATGCACCTGAAATTAACTTTCATGTATGATTTGAGGTAGGAGTCAAGTTTCATTTTCCTCTGTTTCTCTAGTTGACCTGGCACCATTATATTTAAAGTTACTATAATTTACCACTATTCTGCAGCACTGTCTTTGTCATAAATTAAATATCCATATGCATATGCGTCTTTTCGTGGACTCCCAGTTCTGTTCCATTGATCTGCGTGTTTATCTTCAGACGACACCACACTGTGCCAGTTACTATTGCTTCCTAAGTCTTGATATCTAGGAAATAAGTCCTCCTGCTTTGTTTGCCTTCCTTAAGTTGTCTTTGGCTATTTTGGGGCCTTTCTAGTCCCATACAAATTTTAGAAACAACTCCGCAAATTCTCCTAAAAATGAAACACAGTTCTTTGCAGAAAGGGTGGCCAAAATGATTAAATCCAACATTTGAAATGGAACTACATTTGTTCTGTTATTTTTAAATTTGGGGCACCTGGGTGGCTCAGTTGGTTAAGCGTTTGACTTTGGCTCAGGTCATGATCTCACATTTCATGAGTTCGAGCCTCGTATCGGTCTCTGCCAACAACTCAGAGCCTAAAGCTGCTTCGGATTCTGTGTCTCCCTCTCTCTCTGCCCCTGCCCCACCTCTCTCTGCCCCTCCCCCAACTCTCTCTCTCTTTCTCTCTCTTTCTCAAAAGTAAATAGAACATTTATTTATTTTTATTTATTTTTATAGTTTATTGTCAAGTTGGTTTCCATATAACACCCAGTGCTCATCCCCACAAGTGCCCTCCTCCATGCCCATCCCCCCCTCCCCCCCACATCCAACAGTCCTCAGTTTGTTCTCGGCATTCAAGGGTCTCTCATGGTTTGCCTCTCTCCCTCTCCCCCACTATTTTTCCCCTTCTTCTCCTGCTTCGTCCTCCGTTAAGTTCCTCCTAATCCTCCTATACGTGCAAACATATGGTATCTGTCCTTCTCTGCCTGACTTATTTCGCTCAGCGTAACACCCTCAAGGTCCATCCAGGTTGCTGCACATGGCCAGATTTCATTCTTTCTCATTGCC